GAGAGAGAGAGAGAGAGAGAGAGAGAGAGAGAGAGAGAGAGAGGGAGGAGGGGGGGGCGTGTGCAGAAGGTGGAATGAGCATGGAGGGAAATCTCTCTCTCCCTCTCTCGTATGTGCAAGCGGTGTGGGGCAGTATAACTATTGTGGTAGGAACCTTCCCCTGAACAAATTCTTGGTCATGACTTGGCATTGTTTCAGTCCTTTCTTTGGTTGTATTTCTGTCCTTTTTTTTCGCAAACTGAACCATAGACCACGTTCGGGTATCATGATGCAGGGGATGAGGGAGAGTCAGGACAGAGAGTCTTGGCTAGCTCGCAACCAGAAGATCATTGACATGTTGTTGAAGAAGAATTCCTCCATTATCTGCCTTCAGGTGAGGCTTCCATCAACTTTCGTGTTGCCTTTTCGGTTTTCTTCACGCTATGATTCCAATGTGTTTTTTGAGTTTTTTTTTTTTTTTTTTACTTTTTTGAATTCCTCTGAACTTTCGTTCCTTCTTCCCATATAACGTTTGTTCCTTCCAGTGCCCTCATTCCCTGAGCCCAGCTAACCCTTTCCTTGCTATTGTCCCTCCCTCCCTCCCTCCCTCCTCACTCACTCTCCCTTTTCTTGCTATTGTCCCAATCTCCCTCCCGCCCTCCCTCTCTCCCTCCCTCCCTCCTCTTTTGCTCTCCGTTTCCCTCATATATCGTTCGTTCCATCATTTCCTCTTTCTCCCTTTTTTCCCTCTCCCTTCATGTCATCTGTGATCCGTCACTTACGTGTTTCTATGCCCCTCGCGTCCTATCTCATCCGCTTTGTTCTCCTCTTCTCTGTTTTATCCTTTGCCCCTTTTTCCTTTTCCTCTCTTCTTGATCTTTCGCCGTCTTGTCTTTTTGTTTGTGTTTTTGTGCCCCTCGCGTCCTATCTCATCCGTTTTGTTCTCTTCTCCTTTTTCTCCTTTGCCCATTTTTCCTTTTCCTCTCTCTTCCTGATCTTTTGCCATCTTGTTTTTTTTTGTTTCCTATCTATATGAGTGTTGTGTCAAGTTGAACCACGTGCTCCACCGCCTCTTATCCCACTCACTTTGTTCGCTTGCTTCTCCTTTCTGTTTTCTCCCCTTTTTTATTTCTCTCCCTCTAATCCATTTCACTTCGTTTACTTGTTCCTTCTTTCCTTTTTCTCCTTTTTTTTGTTCTTTCTTTTTTCTCCTTTCTCCTTTTTCTTTCACTGTCTTCTTTTTTCAATTTCCGATTCGTATCTGGCACTGCATTGTATCGAACTAGACCACATGCTCCACGGCTTGTGGAGGCCCCCATCAATTCTTTCGAGTTTCAGCCCCCCCCGTGAAGCGCTTGACATGTTATTAGCTTGATGCTGAACAGAAACGTTTCTCTCTGGGCTGGGACTATTTCACGTCTTTCCACGTGTTTTCATCTCTCTCTCTCTCTCTCTCTCTCTCTCTCTCTCTCTCTCTCTCTCTCTCTCTCTCTCTCTCTCTCTCTCTCTCTCTCTCTCTCCAACCGTGGGAGAAACAACGGAATCCGACCGTGGGATGAACAATGGAATCCAACCGTGAAGGTAATTGTTTATTCCTCGTGCTTATCAAACATCCTTCCCAGTTTGGAGAGGAGGTAGCGCACCGCACAGGAAGAGGATGGATAGGCCAAGACAAAGCAATTGAACCCTGTTATGAGAGACCCAGTTCTCCCCTGCATGCCTTCTACTTTTTTCACCTTCTATTTTTGGTTCGCTAGGATCTTTGGCATGTACCATGGGTAGTGTTATGTACATGCATTCTTATACAGGAGGTACGTTGTGCCTTTTTTAAATAGGTTGTTGGATCGGACGTCCGGGACCCCCCTGACCGTCCGGGATGTCTGACCGGACGTCTGGTCGGACGTCCGACCGGACAGGGTATGTCCGACCTAGCGCAAAAAAAAAAAAAAAAAAAAAAAAAACAATTCTCAGAAAAATCTGAAAAAAATATATATGTTATGTAACATAACAATACAAGCNAAAAATCTGAAAAAAATATATATGTTATGTAACATAACAATACAAGCAACTTTTGCCTTGGAGTCATGTTCAAATTCACAGCCAATCATGAGTAAAAAATCAGAAACAATTTTTTTTTAATTTTTTTTTTCACGAATTTTTTGTTTTTGTTTTTCCGGACGACGGGGGTACCGGACGTCCAATGGGACGTCCGGGGGAGACGACCGGCCCCCGGACCATTGGTAACCTACTTTTTTTTTTCTTTTTTTTTTTTGTGTACCTTAATTTAGCTGTGTTATGTACATGCATTCTTATACAGGAGGTACGTTGTGCCTTTTTTTTTTTTGTACCTTAGTTTAGCTGTGTTATGTACATGCATTCTTAAGCAGGAGGTACGTTGTGCCTTTTTTTTTTTTGTACCTTAGTTTAGCTTTAGGGATTATCTTTAATAAACCTCCAGCACCCATCCTAGGTATCATGCGTGCCCCGCTGGTCAACATGGGGCCATAGAAAGGTGAGAGCGGGTCCTGCCATTTATAACAAAACCCAAGGATCATTTTCACTAAACTTGCCACCAATTCATAGAGTGGAGACCACACTAACTAATTGAAAAAAAAAAAAAAAACACAAGGCAGAAGTGCACTTTCATGCAGATTTCGCCAACATTCCAGTTTCAGAAATCTTTAGAAATTTCAGAAACCTCAGCAGAGAAATTTGAAATTTCCAATGCTCCAAATGACGCCAAATTTGGCACACACCAACCTTCAACTAAAACAAAAACATGAAAAAAAAAAAAAAAAACCCATAAAATTTGACCTCCAAAGGCCCCAAACCCTAATTTCAGTTTTGAACCTGTTAACTAAGGGGCTGAAAGTCGGGGTCCCCGTTAACCACTTGTGGGAAAGGCTCGCGCCCTTCCGGACCCAAATTGCTGGCTGCGTGCGGTAGGTCGTCTCCCACGACCGTTCCGGATGTGAGGGGCAGTAAAAAATTGTTATAGGAAAAAGGAGGCGGGGAGGTACTAGTGGTTTAAAGTTTAAACCGCCAGTACCTCGTCAGCCATTGATGCCGAGCCTAAATTCGCCCTGTGCGTCAAAAAAAATGAACGGACACGGGCCTGCTTTTCGCTGGTGCCGCCAGCCATGTCGGTCCAGCACCCAACCCCCCGAAAATTGCAGTCGTAAACGAGCCGCATATTTGTTTTTCAAGCGGGGAAAAGGTACTGGTGGGGTTTAAACCGCTACGGTAGTACACGGCCCCAGCCTTGCAGAAAGTTTTTGTCGCCACAAGCAAAACTTCGAGGCGCCGCGCGGCCAGGGGTGCCGTTGGGAAGAAAAATCGGCGGCCTCCGAAGTGGTGCGGGTTTCATGCTGACACCCGCGGGCCGACGGGTGGTGTACTGGTGCTTTAAGCCTCGTGAACTGTCATCCACAGTAGTAGATGATCAGTTTGATGAAGTTCAATGAGAAATATATGGGCCTCGCTCCATTGCTCGACACTGTACATGCATTTTTTTGGACGCCGTCGTAGACCAGGTTCATTCTGAGGAGTCCAACGTTTTGCATCGCTTATGAGGTTCGGATATGTGTCGAGTGTTTTTTAGTGGGGCGATGCCCTATGTTCCTGGAGAGGATCACAGCTGGCTTTCGCCTTGTGCTAGCACTGATGATTGACAGGTTAAACCACCATTCCCTTTGTGGAACAGTGGGTTGCTTATGGAGAATGTGAGGCGTAAAAATGCGCATCGGAAAAAAGAGAGGGGGGGGGGTTACTTGCGGTGTAAGTGTAGTGAAGTGAACTGTGACCGGCAGTAGTACATGATAAGTTTCACAAACTTCGATGAGAATATATGTTGCTGTAGAGGGTTGGTTCACAGCTACCGTCAGCGGGTTGCTTATGGAGAATGTGAGGCGCGGGTAAAAATGCGCATCAGAAAAAAGAGGGGGAGGGGGGTACTTGCGGTGTAAGTGTAGTGAAGTGAACTGTGACCGGCAGTAGTACACGATAAGTTTCACAAACTTCAATGACAATATATGTTGCTGTAGAGGGTTGGTTCACAGCTACCGTCTTCACCCGAATAGAACGCCCGGTCATTATAGCTGTACTTGGTGCAACTTTGGGTCCAGATGCAGCGATAATGACTGGGCGTTCTATTCAGCTGTACTTGGTGCAACTTTCGGTCCAGATGCAGCGATAATGACCGGGCGTTCTATTTGGGTGAAGACGGTAGCTTTCGCCATGGGGCAGCACTGATGATTGACAGGTTAAACCACCCTTCCTCTTTGGAATTATCCTCTGGGCCTGGACTGGTTTCGCGGATGGAAGAGGAAACTGTGGCTGCAGTCTGATTGGCTATCAAACAAATCAACTGAGGGCATATACTCACAATGGCACTTTTCTCAATGCATCTGGATTCTGGACTGCAATTATTCCCGGAGCCGGATGCATCTGACCAGAAACACTGTTCTATTAATTTTGACAGAATACCACTGGGTGCTATTAATTGCTAAGCGTCGTTTTTTCTGTAAAGAAAAAAAAAAGAAAGAGAGAGAAAGAAAAACTTACAGAAAGATGGTAGATGGTGGGTGATAAACGGTGCCCCAAAAAATTCAGAACTTTCTATATTCCCCTTATATGTGAACGCACCTAGGCGCTCGTCCTGTCCGCATGCAGCTGGAATGCATGGGCTTACAAATGGACATGGTCGGTGTTTGCTCACATATTCAACCAGGCACCAGGGAGCAGTTTCTAAAGTGTAGGGGTTTGTCTTTGCAGTTGGCCGTTCTTTTTTTTCTTTTTTTTTTACTTTTCTCATTTCGCCCAAAGAAAGTTGTGAGAGTGCGCAGTAGAGTAGCGTATCACACGGGAGGGATTTCAAAACGCTGACCAAAAAAAAAAAAAAAATGCTGACCTGTCAGTCGTCGGCTGTCAGGGTTTGTGCTATTCAGCTACCAGCCCAGATCTATTTTGATTAGATAAACCACAAGTACACGGCCCCAGCCTTGCAGTCCAAACTTGTCGCCACAAGAAAACGACTCGGAGACCAAAATGTCAAACGCTGGCCCTGTCGTTGATAAATTCGATCGGCGGCGCCGTTTTCGTTTCGCGCCTGTAGAATTTGAGGTGTCAGACCCGCGGCCCAGGTGGCCATGTACTGGTGGTTTAAACCTTGAACCAACAGTACTTCCTAAAGTCCTGGCCGTTAACGAGCAACGATTTTAGGAAACGTACGGGCCACTACAAGAGCGCCCAAATTCATCCGACTAGAAACATTTCTACTCTATCTTTCTCCACCATGGCCGATACCTGGGCCAAGTACGAAGATGAAGAAACAGTTAACTACCTGACATTTCCGCGCACCTGACCGGTCGAAGGGTTGCGTCGGGGTTGAGTTGATGGCGGAAGCCAGGAAAGTTTTTCATCCCTGATGCGGTCGACTTGATGGCGGAAGCCAGGAAAAGTTTTTCGTCCCTGATGCGGTTGTCTCTGGCTCACCACAGAAACGCGCCAAGCATCTGCTAGAAGGATGATGAGATTTCCCACAAGGCTGGGGGCTTGTACCAGTAGAAGTGGTTTGAAGTTTCCCACAAGGATGAGGCGAGCGGGCCTAGCAAATCATGCGGGCATGCAGAAGGAGGCCTCCGGCTGGAACAGCAGCGTCCAGAGGCGTCCTTGCCAGAAAAATAAAATAAAATGCAAGTGCTTATCTCCAGCCATTGGATTCTGATCATGGCGGTCGGAGTCTCCTGATGCTATCTTTTTTCGAGGCCACGAGCCTCCACTGATGTCCGGGACCTCCAGCGTACGTGGAAATTTCCGATTCAACAAAATAGGGTTTACTGAACGGGTGACTGAAAGATATGCATGTTCGTTAATAAAAAAATAAAAAATAGAATAAAATAAGAGTGTCTGCTGAATGGGTGGCTGAAAGATGCACATGTCCCTGATGATTGACTGTGTGTGCAGTTGATTGTGAATTGTGTATTTTACCCCATACCCTCGTATGTCGGGCTTCGAGACTTGCCTGGGCCTCACATGTCAGGGTCTGAGACCAAGCAGGAGGGCAAGGCCGGGTTCAATTCGATGGGAAAGGGTGTGTGGAAGGCACAGTGGAAGACTAATGGCATTCATTTACACAGCGAATACACACATGATATACCCAGACGACAATGTGGGGCGAGAATTGAGAATTGACTCGCAGGCAAGCGGGGAGGGGAACATTCATAGGGAGGAGGTCACCCCCCAATAATGCAGAGAAGAATGGAGGTGAGGGGAGGTGAAGCAGAAGTGATGAGGGAGAGGCAGACGAAGAAGGACTTTGAGATATGGCAATGCTGATAAAGTAATCTGATCTCTTCCTCGAATACTCTCCTCCCCCTGATCATTGGTTCCATTGACATTGTCGCCGGCTTTGTCCGAGGAAGCACACTACTTTCCCCAAAATAAATGCCATGCCACAACCAGATCTCTCTGTCGGCCTGTCCATCACAAGAAGAGTGAGAGGAAGTAATGCTTCCTCGGAGGAAGATATGAGGAGTGAGGTGGAGGTGGAGGAGGAGGAGGAGAAGAAGAAGACGAAGAAGAGCAGAAAGAAAGAAAAAGACTCTCTCTCTCTCTCTCTCTCTCTCTCTCTCTCTCTCTCTCTCTCTCTCTCTATACACATCTAGATGTGTATAAGAGACAGGAGGAGGAGGAGGAGAAGAAGAAGACGAAGAAGAGCAGAAAGAAAGAAAAAGACTCTCTCTCTCTCTCTCTCTCTCTCTCTCTCTCTCTCTCTCTCTCTCTCTCTCTCTCTCTCTCTCTCTTACACACACACACACACACACACACACACACAGATACTGACCTGCGAAAGGTAGCACGTTGAGCTGCTGATGCCATGCAGGTAACAGGTCCCAGTCCAGCTCCGATGGGAGTTCCGGCTATGGCACCCAGGTGAGTCGCTCTGCTCCTCTGCAGACCTTGACTTCCTACAGTCTGGCGCGTCGCCTATCCTCTATATCTAGTTGTGTGAGTTGTTTTTGTATTTCCGTCCATTCTCTTCTGATGGGAGCTCCAACAGCTCCGATGGGAGTTCTGGCTATGGCGCCCAACTGAGCTTGTTGCGTGAGTTATTTTCGTCTTTTCAGACTTTTCGTCCATTCTTTTCTGAGTTCCGGCTATTGGTCCTCAGATTTTTTGTCTGTTCCCTGTTGTGTGTGTTTTCAACTGTTTTTTGGGATTAGGGTGAGTTGTTTTTGTCTGTTCTCAGAATTTTTGTCTGTTCCATATCTGAGCAGGCATAAGGCCTGTTCAGGCAAGTGGTAAATCGGTTCACACGTCTTGGGCCCATTCGGATCCCTGAGAGATTTTGTCAGTATTAGGACTGGACCATTTTTTATTCCGGTAGTGTGGATCAGTCCTTGTCCATCACTGGGCACTGGGCAGGCCTTCTAGTAGGTGTGCCTGGATGTTCCACTGGGACGAACGCCTCACATTTTTCGAGCCTGGGCCTGATGAAGCAGGACTTGAGCCTGCAACCAGGACCATCAGACGATGGTTACAAATCGGACGGCCCTGGATACAGAACTGTAGTACAAGTGGTAGGCCTAGCGCTATAGGTGGCCAGAGCTGGGCCAGAGGGACCACAGTTAGTGCGTTTCAGTTTCAGCTGGAGATTAGCGCTGAAGAAGTTACTGTTAGCATTAGTTGAGGTAGGAGGAGAGATTGGCGAGAAATGGAGCTCTGCAGTGGCACTGGGCAGTTGACGATTCGCCGGGGCGCCATAGCTTGGGGACACCCTACTGGCCATGGCCGGGTTTCACTCTGCAAGTCCTGCAGTTCAAGACTGTGTCTTTCAATGGTCAGTATCTGTGTGTGCGTGTGCGTGTGTTGTGTGTTGTGTGTGTGTGTGTGTGTGTGTGTGAGAGAGAGAGAGAGAGAGC